CCAGTTACACCTGTCCTTGCGTTTTTCCTATCAATATCATTATCTTCATGTCAACCTGTTTACCCGAACAATTTCACGTAGCACTTTATTGTTTCAAATATTGCAACTGCCCAAATTGAAGGTTTTCATTGGAGTATTTAATCAAGTAAGGAACGCTATTACTTCCGTAGGACCTACGAATTCATCGATGCCCTAACGATCAATGAACATAACATTCTACTCTAAATTACGTGCACAAAATGTGCACTATTTTTCAAATTACAAGAAACTTAACTTCATATTTTTTTTACAATTCACTACGCCTTTGTTCTAAAAATCTAAGTATCCATATGAATCGTATAAGGCTTGATATTTCATTGCTTTCTTGTCTCAATACCATGATGATTTCTAGAAAAAGTAATAGCTTGGTTGAATAATTCATATCCATCCTTCCTTCTTGTATGAACTCGCGACAAGTGTGCTCTGCCTTCAGATGAGCAATTTGGGATCTCATTCCTTGCTACTCATCAGCCCAATTCTCCACCGCGATGGACAACGACCTCTCAGAAGCTGGCTAGCCACCCGACAGCGGACCACAAGAAACTGCATGCCATCGTTTAATACTAATTAGTTATTCAATAATTATCATATTTTAAATAATTTACACCAGCCATTTTCTAAAAAATCGAGGGTCAACTAGCTTCAAACTGAAGCTAGCTAGCCACAATACCAAATACAGCAGAATTTATCAGAAAAATTTAACAAGGCAATATTAATTAATTACTATTAAATTATTCCATTTTACCATCATTATAAAACGTAATTTTTTTTAAATTCAAAAATATCTACAAAAACACAATTTATGGGAGGAAAACGCAAAATGCATTCTTACCGGCAAACAAACATTTCCGTATGCTAATTACATGAAAATTCAGTATATATTTTTACCATACGACACCAGAATTAAGTCCGACAAGCAGTTGTTTAAAGAAGGCACCAAAGTCATATTTCTATCACGGAACTTAAAAATCTTCTTAGAATTAAATTTCAACGGTGGAATTACTAAACAAATTTTGTAACATATACCTTATATTTACTGACTAAAACACTCCAGAATTAATTACTGCTTGCAATTGTTTATAAAGAAGCCTAAACCTTTATAATGGCTATTTACGTAACATGAAAATTAACTCACAAAAAAAGAACTAACCGGCGAAATTCACAAATTATTTCACCTACACAAGACACCCTTTGATTTAATAACAATTAATTACTCCGCCCAGTTTGTTTTTTTAATCAGCCAACGTTTCGCACTTACATCGAATTGCACTCACAAAATTTAAAAAATCTTAAAATTACATTTTATGGGCGAAACACGGAATTAATAACACTATTTTGTTACAAATCAAATTTACAAATTTTGTTACTATCAAAATGGACTATATATATACTAAAAAATCATAAAAAACTAACTGGCGAAATTCAGAAAAAACTTCACAAGTTTCTACACAAGGCACCAATTAATTTAAAATTAATTTGTTTAAATTAATTACTCTCCCCAGCTCTTTTTTAAAATATTTGATATTTTGATAGCCTCTGTAAATATTTAGGCTTCTTTGTTAACAATTGCAAACAGTAATTAATTCTGCAGACATTTTATCAATAAATATTAAGTATTTGTAACAAAATAGTGTTGGTAATTCTGTGGTTCGCCGATAAAATATAATTTTAAGAATTTTTTCATTTTGTGTAGGAACGTGTGAAGTTATTTCTGAATTTCGCCGGTTAGTCGGTTTTGAGAAATAGGACCCCGAAAATGAAAACAGGACACCGAAATTTTTAAAAAAAAAATTAAAACGAAAATGATCATAATCAACATTTTTCAATCCAAATGGAAAAAATTGTTTTCTGAAAGAAAAGTTCTCTTTTAATAGTCTTTGTAAAAAGTGGAATTTACACCATCCGTAACTTTCGTGTAGTCAACAAAACATAATTATGTTTGTAATAAAAAACAAGGATTTTTTCGCTATGTATTTTATTTCACTACATCTGTTGTTGTAATGGACGTCCAAACAAACTTTTTGAACAAACATCAAATTTTGATGGAAATTATTCTCTTTTTTTCGGTGTGAAAAAAATCGTCCCTAATTAAGTCGAGTAGTAGTAGGCTTTTGCAGGAACAATGTCGAAGTGCACGGACTCACAGACTGTGAATTCAAATCCCTTATGAAACATTGGTATTTTCACGTATGATGCATTATTTTTGAGGCGTGTTTGGCTTCTCACACCACACAGTCTATCCAAACTACATATTATTCCAGCAATTCTGGAAATGGGACGATAGAACAATCCAAGCTTGCACCCTCGCCCAATTTGGAAATGAATTCGGTATTCATCGCATGCGTTCTTTCATTAGTTGATTAATGTATTTGCGTATCGCGCCATTTGGGTAATAGCAATACGACACCGACAACAAAACGTCAATATTACCAAACATCGATGTGAAAAATCTCGCCCAAAATTCATCAATTTTTTTAAACATCGATGTTTTAAAGCTAGTGCAGTAAACTCAAACAATAAATTCGAGCACGAAAAAAAATAAATTGACAGTGGTCTTCTACATTAATTTATCGTTGAAATTTAACTGAAAACCAACTTACACAACGCCTATTTATGTGCGAAATACGAGGAAAGACAAAGGAAATACCAGGACATCAGAATCATCTCAAGCAAGGGATAGTTTGCTCAGTGAAGGACGTACAAACCACAATCGTTTCTTTCGAACACATAGACAGTGGTACCAACAGTTATTATTTTATATTTTCACTTTAACAAAATTGAGAGTATCGGAATGTTTCGTCCAAGGACAAAACTTCGGACACGTAAAAGCAACGATGTTCAAAAAAGCACAAAACACAAAAGCGCAAAAGAGCACAAAACACCGATGTTCAAAAAACATCGACTTTAATTCATAGATGTTTAAAACATTGATGTTTTGTAGGAACATAGATGTTTTGAAAACATCAACATCAATGTCGCATGACTCTTGGGTGGATGTGGGCCAGTGCGCCGCCAATTAGCATTTAGAGAGGGCTGCCGCGCAGGCGTTAGTTCTTTATTTTACGGGGGCCGTCGGCGCAGGCTCCTGTTGTGACAGCGCTGATCTTCCGGTCACAGAAAGGGGGGGGGGTAGTGTTACTCGTTGACCCACAGTTCCAGAGGGTGAGCAAATGCGCGCTTGCCTCGTGATTCACAGCTCGGAATGCGAAAGCCTCTATAGCGTTTAGATTCACTTGTCGCTCGATGGGGATTCATGCATATTAATGAACTTAATTAAAATATTGCCCTAATTTTTGAAGGAGGAGGAATTTGTCTCCTGTTAATAAAAATGCCTGTTTCGTGTTTTATAAATATACCACTTAAATTAATTTCCATTTTTTGCCTTCTGCTACGTATCCGTTTTTTGAGTGAGTGTATTTATGCAGCGTCTCTACGATCTACTGATATGTTTATATTATCAGTAGATTGAATTTTAATAAGTATATTTCTCTTCACGTTTCATATAATTTTAAACGTTACCATTTTACTCTCTTGGTTCAAAGTAGGGCTGCCTGTTTTAATCATCAATCAGAAGCAATGTAAATGAATTAATGCCATGTCCCCATAAGTACTCTGGGTAATCATCTTATATCATTAATCTCCAAAAAAGACTTATAAATCAATATTTTTATGGTCAACGATGAAAGAAACATTTAAACAAATTAAATAAAACAAGAAATTAAGTTGTTAGGTTCTTAGTAAAAAAAGTTACGGCATATACAGACAGATGCCTTGTCATCTTTGCGAAGCTCCCAATAATGAACAGAATCTGCGATCTGCAGCGTGATAAACACATCAAATAGTACACCACTCATTTATGAGAATTCTTTCAAGAGAGATAAGGTAGATACAATTACAACCTAGAATAATTCCAAAACACACGCAGTGGATCTGCATAAACCACATTTTTAATTTTAATCTCAGAGATCAGTGTCGTATCATTAATGTTTGAAACGGAAATATATTATCGATGGTCGAAGTGAAGCTGACGGATTGTAAGCACTATAGTGGTTGTGCCAGCTTGCGATCGAATTGTTTCTATCTGGCAGCACGACGAATGACCAAAGTTGAAGATATTTCCCTGTCTTATAGTCACGAACAGTTTGTCCCCTCAGGAGCGTTCTTCTGAGCCACCTTTATGATCGTTACAACTGCAACGCTGTGAACGTAAGACACTGATACTTAAGATACACTTACGAAAAGAGTTATTCTAGAAATTCACATATTGTTTGTAGAAGAAGTTATAGCAACGTCATTGATTATGAAGTTCTTGTTAATACTCATTATCAAATATGAGTGTACAATTTTACTCGGGTTAAATAAGTAGTTAAAACATATGCTCGAGGTACGTGTCAGTTTTGTCTTTGCCTTTGTATCCGTTCGCGGAAACACGAACGGCTCTGACCCCATCCTGTCGAGTAAAACTGGGAGAGGTGGCTAACCGAGAGAGGTCAACGTTGCCAGCAGGGCGTCAACTGTTGTCACTGCAGTGCCTCTAATCGTGAGTGCGACGGTGGCAGAATTCTCGACACTAGTTTGTCAGCTAGGTCGAATTCAATCGCTGTCTGGAGGAGAATTCTAGCAGTCGGCTGCTCTGATCAGTAGTTTTCCGTGGATTCTCCGAGAAAACACCTGGCGAATGCCGGAGCAGTACTAAGTCAATCCTTGCCCCTTACTTGCACACACTTACACTTACACTTACATGCACTACACACATGCCGAGAGACCGGTCGGGAGCTTAGAGCTTGTTTCGACTGAGGCGGAGCCCCGCTTATGGGAGATACCTTGTGCGGGTGCAATGGAGTAAAAGTAAAGGTTACAGAGAGCTGGCGACGGAAAGGATACTCAGTCTGGGCAACCAATGTGCAGTCCGGGAGAAGTCTTGTGGCAAATGAAATGAAAAAACATCAGTGATAAAGATTGAAATGAATTTATTTTTAAAAATCTGCAAGTGGGATGTTCTTGGTAGCAACATAAACATGTACACAAACAGGACTTTCACATTCCTGAAACAACATAAAAATAGAACATTACAAAAATATAATATACAAATTAAAAATAACACAAGTAGACATAACAAAAAAGAAACAAAAAAAGAAAATGGACAATAAGGTCCTGAAAAGAAAACGAAACGTAACAATATACAGGATAAAAATAGGAAGTAAACTCACAAAAGACATTTAAATGGTACTATATAAAATTCACCTCACATTTCTAATAACACATAATACAAATTCCTAGAAAATATAAATAAACTCTTAAACTCAGTTTTAAATAGTGACTTTCTACTCACTACATTCAAGTTCAGTTAATTGAGTTATACGAGACGGTAGAGAAAATCAAAGGGCAGGAAACGTACTCGGAAGGATGACAATGATGTACTACTAACTTTAATGACAATAATTCAAAAGAGACGAATGACAGCTTGGAGAAAGGGTACAATATTAAGAAGTCAAAGGGAATGAACAATGAAACATGATAGAGAAGACAACAAATAGGAGACCAATCAGATCGTAACGAGAAGCAAGAAAGTGAAGTAGCTAAAAAGTATAAAACATAACAAAATGTAATGTAGGGAAATGAAATAAAAATTCAAATATTTTCTACATTGACCTATTAACACATTAAAATAGGCAACAAACTAATTTAATGAAAAGGGACTATTAAGATCTCACTCTTAAAACCTACCTCAAGGTTTTTACCTTAGGAAGTGGTTTATAAAACTTACTAGTTATAAAATTATAAATCGTATACATTATTAATTTAAAATATACGGCCATTTTGATAGAAAACAGAGCAGTCTCTGGTCATGTGAGAAGTGTCAACAATTTTGTTATGTACGCAGGAACGCGGTAAAAATACAAAAACAAGTAAATAGTTTCGATTTTTATTGAAAAATGCACATATTTGATAATGTTATTCCACAAATTCTCATATCTGATGTTATGCACTATATTCTCATAGCCCAGTGGGTCACTGCATACGACCCAGTTTATGTCATGTATCGAAGAATGCTTCAGTATTCACTTGTGCCTTTTCAGAACAATCGATTTTCCTTGTTCAAGAGACCCATATTCCACATCATCGGCAGCTTTTTTGATGTTGCTAATTTAATGATGTCACTAACTAAATTTAAATACAATAATGGTGTACCCCCATAGCTCTGTACTTGCACTACCACACTCACTACAACAAATTACTCGTGAATAAGACGATGAATTATGTGAAATATGTATGTTCTATTATTTTTTTCATTGCAGCACCTTTGATCCTACTGTTTAGCTCGAGATAGTTAAGCTTTGTACGAACACCGACAGTTTGCATTATCTGAAGTGAATTCATAAGGTTTGAAGAACTTACGATAAATAAAATTTATTCACTGAAGGATTCAGTGAATGCGTATCATAACGAGAGATGGCTTATTTCACTGCCACACTTACTTTTTTCCAGTACCGGGAAAAATTCTGTTGTGTACATGTATTGATTAATATGAATTAATCACGTGCTTGGGGCCCCCGTTGTATTGGAGTGTCCAAGGTCTTTAAATTAAGTTTTATCTTAGTTCGTAAATACGTAAAAATAATTTCAAGCTATTTTATTTATAATAAAATTTCTTAACTAAAAAAATTCTGCCCAAAAAATCTCGCAATTGCTTTTGTATGTTTAGATTATTTGTATGGGTGAAAACCACAACGGTATAAGTGACATTTTATAAATTCAGAAAAATATGTTTAAGTCTATATTGCTGACTTATTACTTGTAAATTCGTGGTGCTTTGTTTCATCAATAAAACCACGGCATTTCAATTGTTCATTAATACCAGGAAAATACATTTCCACTGAAATAAAGCATAAAATAAACACTTTTTCTCAGAATTTATAAAATGTCACTTACACCATTCTGGTTTTCACCCATTCATTTAGTACTTACATATCAATATTTTTTTTACATTGGAAGGTATATGTTTTCGCGAATTTAATTTGTTCATCGTGAACAATAACATAGGAAACCTGCGTGCTTAAAGCCTCTTGAGATATTAACCCGGCTGTGCAGTTGTGAAGGTGTCCCATACTCGCTCAGAATGTGACACTATCACACGACCGGGCCTCCGGGCTGCCAGACTGCCGGGTTGGTCGTATATGGGTTCACGGAGAAAATGACGTTACAGCAGAAGGTGTCGCGACGTGTCAACGCCGTGGGCGAGAAACAGCGGCGGTGGGCGGTAGGTTGCGACGGTTTCACGCCCTTCCCACGCCCCCCCCTCCCCACGACCCCCACACACCCACAAACGGCGCCCGACATGTCCCCAGAGAACTCACATTAGGCGACACTTTTATTAACTTATGCGAGGAAGACCCACCGTTTACCGGTTTAATTGAGGTGGGAGGATGGAGGAGATATGCTATGGTGGACTCCTTAACGAAGGCTTTTTGGCATTATGAGTTTGTGGGTGTCAAATATTTTTTGAGTGACATTCACACGTAGGAGTTCATCTCAAAAAGAAATCAGGTCCTGTAATTTTACTTCAGACAATTAATGAAGACAGTTATAATAACTTTGTGAATGAGTCTCATATCATTCTTTTGTAAGCAAGTATTAGAGTAAGATATGGCGTTTAAAGTGTATTAGCGATGTTATTGTTCAGTACGGCGAAGAGGTAGGGCTAATTTTTATAAATGATATATGTTACCACCCCAACCCACACACACACATACACACACACTCACACACACAACCACAACCACAACCACAAACAAACATACAGACACACAGTTCCCGAAGGACCGTGTCCTCAGGAACTCTCATTGAGGTATGTATTAAATCATGGGAAGAAGAGACACCGCATACTGTTTCAATTTAGGTGGAAGATTGGTAGAGGTATCTTATTCTGAACACCTAAATGAAGGGATTTTGTTATACCGTCTTTCTAGATATCACTGGCCAGAATGGGATTCGTTGTGAATCGTATGATTATTTCAGGATAATTGATGAAACTAATAATTTTTAGTGTTCGAGTTATGCACACGAATCGTGCACGTATTTCTTCACCAAAAGAAATCAGTATCGGCAATTTTACTTCAGTAATTAACGTGATACGGTCTGAATGAGACTCATGTCATTATTTTTTTGTAATTAAATATTAGATTTATCTTTCCTTTATGGTATAATAGGGATTTTATATCTCATTACGTCAACGCTAAAGACTCAGGTTAATATTTATAATATTTTCTATAGACATTATTGGAAAAGGAATGATCAACTATTTTAAAGTTATTAAGTTGGTATGTCAACAACGTCAATTTTATATTGACAAAAAATCGAAATTTTCTTATGTTTAAGCTAATGAATTTTTAATTACTTTACTTTTAAAAGTAGAGATATTAGTACCCACTCAAGTAAATAAGATATTAAAGCTAAATAATATTTTGAAATTTCTGGATAAAATATTTCATTGAGAATTGCAAAATCAGATACGAATGCAATGCTTGTAAAAGTCTTCATGAATGAATAGATGAATTTAGATGTACACTCACAGAACGCTAATCGTTTTATCTATTCGGTGATATTTTCTAATACTCTTCCAACTGATTTTTTATTATTTATCAAATTTTATGAAATTATAATTGTTAAAGATGTTTAAGATTTACCGTAGCTCAGTTTTAACTTCTCATGAACTTCATCAACATTATACGTAGAAATGTTCCAAACATTTTCGTTTCATCGACGCTTAGTTTTCCTACATTGATTTGCTTGTCGTTTGTAATATTAAATGAATATTGGTGCACGTAAGTTACAAAACAAGTTCTTGACGCTAATGGAATTGTGTCCACAACGAATTCAATCGAAGCAAACGAGAATCGAGAATATTAATTTCTCGTTTGCAATAATTCTCATAAAATTATAATGTGTTGGCAAGTGTTACAGTTGCAGGTACCACCTGGATGAGTTGTATAAGGTAGAACATTCCTGTTGAGCAGAAGTGAATGCGTTCATCAGTTTTCAAATCTTCCTTGTCGCTTCGAAATCATCAAAGTGATTCGCAACAAGCACTCATTCGAATGAATTTCATTATCACACATGTGATATATCCAAAAGAACACCAACTGTTTTTGTTACAGCATTTTTTAAAAACAAAAACCCATTTTTGCAAAGTCTGTACTTCCTAATGTTTCGAGTAATTCCCTTTTATTTCAGATCATAAACAATCTCTTTTCTCATCTGATTGCCCTTTTTGTAAAATTGTTTTTATTCATATTACAGAATGAAATAATTATAGGCGTTGTCATTGCTAACAATATTATTTATTGAAAAAGTAGCTCACAGATTGGCACAATATGGCTCACAGATTATCATCGGTTTCGTGCGGTTAGTAGCAAGTTAGCACAAAAAAAAATACCTACGACAACTCACCGCTAAACCAATAGTTTACAGATACTTTTCATGTCAGTAATGCTAACAATGCTATTGAGAAATGATCGAATCAAAGTATGTATATTGAGTACGATATATCGAATTTGAGTTTCATAATTACAGAATAAAATGTTTTACTCGCGTTGTACTTTTAGAAAACCATCGATTGGATGCCCGTCATCAATAATACTACTGAAAAGTAGGCAAACACCAGAGGAGTACCTTAACAAAGAGGCCACTACGACCCGCGCGCTATATTTCCGTCTGCATCCTCGACCCCTCTTCTCCCATTACACACACACAAACGGTCAAGCACTACACAACTTCATATTCTGAGATATGATTCGGGAGCTTAGAGCATATAGGCTGCTGGTTGGAGCATGGCCCGTTGGCGGAGGTACCTTGAGAAGGATATCGCCTCTCGAAAGCCAACGTGATATCAGCGGATCTAACATTCCAGCGGGAGAGGAACTTTGCCACCTCCCAGGGGAAAACACTAAAGGGAGTAATGACCAAAGCTGTTGTGTCCGGCATCACAAATAAATAAATTTTGCAAAGCAGATAATCTGCTTTTACCAACCGGACAATCCGTAAC